CTGTGTACCGACCATCCTTCAGATGAGATATTAAAACAAGGTCATATTTGCTTGTTCAGGTGTATGTTAAAGACCCCATGGCACTATTGAAAAAGAGAAGCGAGTTTCCTTGGGGTCCTGGCCAACTATCCACCCAAATAAAAAAAATGATCATTCACTTCATGACTGACTGTGGGACATTGCTGTATGTAAACTGGCTGCCACGTTCATCCACTCTCTGCATTTACAGTTTATCCTGTGAAGCGCTTTGGGATATCCTCCTGACATGAAACGTGCTATATCAAATGTAAGGATTATTATTACATTTACTATCTGATACTACCTTTCAATGGAAATTGGATATGATGATCAGTAATTTTTTAGCACCATGTTTGCAGAGGTAAATTAAATTCTATACAATCATTGGTAGAAATGTCTGATGCAGACCTAAAAAATGCATTTCAAGTATGAAGTAAGGTCCAGTGGGTCCAGCAAATGGAGAGCGAGAAGGTCTGAGAGAGCCATCATCACTTTGTTGCCCTAATATTGCAGAACAGTGGCAAGGACAGCAAAATCAATGGTAAGCTATGCGGTTTTAGCTGGTTCGACTTCAGCACTACCCCAATGCACTCTCTGGGGTCCCAAGCCTTGGCTCTTGCCAACCTGCGCCTAATACTTTCCTAAATTAGGTAAGCAGGATGTGTCTCTCCAGTGTGATAGCACATATTCCATTCCAACAATCTATCTCTGGGATTTCCATGTGAGGTGGGATACGTGAAATTTTCAGCTTACTGTTGACGTGTGGAAACCCATCACCATACTCTTAAGCAAGGTAATGGGTTTCCATAGTGTCAGATACCCAGCTGACAAAAAGAGAAAAACCTCTCCTGCAAAAAAGATTGCCTCCCATTATTTTGCTGTCCAGTAACATACCATAAACAGAATGGTTTGTTTTTTAATGGGCATCACTCAACGATAATGAAATAAATTTGATTAACTGTGATGTCTTGAGGACACTATGTTCTGTTGTAACAACCTCATAAAGGACATCATAAGCAAATTATACAGTACCAATATACTGCATATTTTGAATCACAAGTATTTCCTAATAAAGTCACTGCAAGACTTCTTGTTAAAGGCCAGTTATAAATAAAGCACTGGAAAGTCAATAAGCAGTTCTCATAGGAGCCCAGTAAATCAGGAACTGAAGGTCCATCTCGCCACAAGTCCGTTCTTCCCACCCAGGTATGACTGTTCTATTAGTCGACTGCAGAATGCCGATGGAAATAATTAATACCAAAAAAACTATTCTTTACAAAAATTTATATTTTGATAGAGTTCACATAAAAGGAATGCCTCAATATTGCATTAGTGCTTGACAAACATTATGATGCACATCGAACAGAGAAGCAAGAAACGCAAGTATGTCGTCCAATTGTGTGGTCAAAGTATGTACACTGGAACATTCTATGACTTGAAATAATATTATTTATCGGAAACTTCTTTATCTTTCCAATGGGATCTTTAATGTCCAGGTTTAACATCTCATGAAAAGGACAGCAACTTTACCAATGCAGCACATCCCCATTACTGAGTGTTAGCCTAGATTATATGAGTTCAAAGGCCTGATGTGAGTCTTGAACATACAATCTTCTGACTCAGAGCCAAGCGTGCTACCAACTGATCCTGGCTGTTAGGAGGATTATGAAGGTAGAGAGAGAGGTAACAAGGTAAGTCATTTAAGAAGAATGTTCCAGTGTATAAATCCCAATGCTCAGGACACTAATGGTGGAGAAAAGGGGAGTGACAAAAACACCAGAGTTCGAAATGAAAAGCATAATAATTACAATTAACTCTTCAAATAAACAGTTCAAATTTGAAGAATAACTCATCACAAATCGGTCTCAATTCTACCCCTGAAAATCTGAACACTATCTAGCTAAATAGTATTGTGCCATCCAAACAGTATATTTGTACAGCTATAGAATGCTAAGAAGAATCATAAAAGTGAGTTGGGAGAACATTTGATCCTTCTTTTGAATTTTATCGTTTAAAGATATCTTTCATGAGAGTGAATAGACAACCATTGAATTGGTTCAATTCAAACTGAACTTCACTGGGCCCATTGAATTGGAGTCTATTGTGGATTACTCTCTTCTCTGGCTGAGTGTCAAGGTGAGATCTCGGCCCAGATCCAAGATTACATTTAATTTTTCAACTCTGGAATAAAAAACATCTTTAGCAGAGACCATTAAACTTAGCAAAAAAAACTTCAACTTTATTAAATAAAGATGGCACGGGTTACCAGGAAGGGTGGTTGAGTGCAGACATGGTCTTTTAAGAAACAGAAGAAGTATAATGTAGGGAAGTGCAAAGTCCTCCACCTGGGTAGCAAAAATGGTAGACCGGGTTATTTTTTAGAAGGGGAGAGATTGGAATGTGTTAGCGTCCGGAGGGACTTGGGTGTCCTTGTACACCAATCACAGAGAGTTAGTCTGCAGGTGCAGCAGCAATTAGGAACGCGAACGGTATGTTACCATTCATTATGAAAGGATTAGAGCATAAGAGTAGGGAAGTCTTGCTGCAACTGTATAGGGCCCTGGTGAGACCACACCTGGAATACTGTGTCCAGTTTTGGTCTCCTCATTTAAGGAAGGATGTACTTGCCTTGGAGGGGGTGCAGCGTAGATTTACTAGGTTAGTGCCAGGGATGAAGGGGATGAGTTACGAGGATAGGCTGACCAATTTGGCCCTATATTCTCTAGAATATAGAAGAATTAGAGGAGATCTTATAGAAACCTATAAGATCATCAAAGGGCATGATAGAGTAGATAGTGGGAGATTGTTTCCCCTGGTTGGAGAAACTAAAACCAGGGGTCACAACCTTAAAATCAGAGGCCAATCCTTTCGCACTGAGTTGAGGAAGAACTTCTTCACTCAAAGGGTGGTGAATGTATGGAACTCACTACCCCAAAGGGCTGTTGACTCTCAGTCCTTGAACATATTCAAGACTGAGATGGATAGATTTCTTATTGCTGAAGGGATTAAGGGATATGGGGATAAGGCAGGGTCAGGTTATTAGCTGGAGTTAGATTAGAAGATCAGCCATGATTGAATGGCGGGGCAGGCTCGAAGGGCTGAATGGCCTACTCCTGCTCCTACATGTTATGTTATGTTAAGATGCTGTCATGGGAAGACACTAGAGTGGGTAATACATAGAATGATATGGCAAGGAACCAGGCTATTGAGGTGAACTAGTCCATGCCAGGCCCAACTAATCCATACTAGATATTAGAAAATGTTTGATTAAAAGAGGAATAAAATTCCTCGCATTCTATCAAATTTACACCTTCATCCCAGAATGTGAATTCAAAGACTCTGACGCAGTGCTTGAACCCACAACCTTCTGGCCCAGAATTCAAACAACTGAGCCAAGCCGGCAGAAATTGATATGCTGTGTGGATGAGATAGGAGGAGATACAACTGGGTATCTGGAAGGATGAGATCAAATGGCCTGAAGGGTTTTCACCACCTGAATCAGTCTTGTGATCTTTTCTTTGACCGTGCCTTCAGCTCCCCTCTCGACTCTCTACCCCCTCCTCGCTCCCTCCCTTCCCTCCCCTCACCATTTCCCCCCTGCTCGGGTCCTGACCCAACTGTACAGCGCCTTGGGACGTCCTCCCGACGTGAAAGGCGTTCAATATATGGAATCGTTGTTGTTGTTGTTGTTGCAGCCAACATAAAGCAGTTTTGCCATATTTGCTGCAATCACCTGTTGTACATAACATTGATTTAAAATGATCCAATTCAGTATTTACTTGGTAGAAGTAGTAAGTAACTTGACAGCTCACAATGTTCGAGGATTAAAATATGCTATCATTAAGCATTCATTTTTATGATTTGTATACATTGAAGTTTAGTAGTTCAACAGCCTAGTTCAGTTGAAATAGTGGAAATAATTTGATCAAAATATGTGTTTCAGTGACAGATCTCGGATAGAAGCCGATTTTCAAAATGTTGCTAAATGTATCTCTGGAGAAATCAGGCAATCTGTGAACACTGGTTGGCATTAAATTGTAAATTTGAATCAATAACACCAAAACCTATTGTAATTTTCTTAATTGTAACTGTATAATGACATTGACAGCAGGAATCTCTTCCCCGCGTCTTGATGGTGTAGTCTCTAGACTCTCATTCACTACTACAGAACTTCAGAGCGTCAACTGATCACCTCCCCTTCCATGAGAAGGTGTTTACGGCTATCAAAATGGAAATGAGACAGTTTATCATTTTGAAGAAAGGCATTATCTTTCAGAACTAATAATAATATTGAGAACTTTCATTGTAGCTGTTCCCCCCTTTTCCCTCTCCCCGATTCATGTGTAATGTTTAATATAAGATTTAATATAATATGTAATATTTTTAAATGAACTTTGTATGGTGTTACAGGCTTTCACTGCTCATAAATTCTGATAGAGTTTTTTTGTGTGTGGATACACTGATCCATAACCTCAGAAAGTCAAACACTTAGATCCTCAATCAAACGATATAGGTTCTCTGTTTTACTGTCTGCTTCTGTTAAAGCTACTGGGGCGCATTGCACCTCATACAAATAGTCTAGTAACTTTCAAACGTGAATAAAGCAATATAGCACTACTGTAGCTGACATCTCGCCAGTAATTCAAGATATTGTTGATGTTTGGCTCATCAATGAAACTTTGGATGTCTAGCCAGACATGTCCTTAACCTTGCATGCCAAGGTCCTCAAAGATGGTGTCGTCCCAGCCAGATAAGTACAAAGAAACTTGTTAAGGGTAAACTGCACAAGTACTATTAAAAAAACACATCTAAACTGACACCTCCCTTGTGTGTACAGTGTGGTCTATATATAATACAACAACAAGATTACATTTGTATAGCGACTTTCACATCGGGAGGACGTCCCAAATAATACACACTGTATTATCAGAGGATTGCTTTAAAGGCCTCATTTATATGAAATATTTCATAAGGTAACTCACATAGTTCCATTGGTATAGACAGCATCACTCCCCTCCACATACTGCACTTGTGTTGGGTAAACATGTTGCACCTGAAATACAAAGAAACAGAAGATAATTCAAGTCCATACACAGCATGTTATGCTCTTTCACTAAAGAGGTAAAGGAAAGCAGTTGACTGCTCAACGTTACATCTTACATTAATAATCTGCCATTGATAACAGCAGCACAACAAATTAAATCAGAATGCATTCCCCCTCCCCGAGGGTCCTAAGACCCATATTAAAGAAGTGACCTTCACCAGTACCTAATATTGCCACTGGCAGTGCAGGAAGACATCCTTTCCGGTGAGCTGAGAAGCTCAGGCTGGCATACAGGTCATTGAAGTGGATTTTTGGTAACTTCTTTTCAGACTTATCCAGCGATTGTGTCCGGAAGCAATCATGAACGAGAACTTAATAATAACTGCATACACCCAAGCTTGTTTTTCTATTGTAGCTGCTGTAGAATCTGCCTCACAATGTGAGCAAGGAAGCTCACACAGTACATGGACCCTGAGGCAATACTGCAAAGCTGTTTCTTGAAACCATTGTGCATTACATATACAGCACACACATAAATCACAAAATACTTTCAAAATGACCTTGTATCATGGTCAGTGTACAAAATAAGATCTTGCACAACGTCAGCTTAAGTCTTTAGCATCTTTTACAGCACACCAGACCTGTAATGTTCAGATATTTATCTCTAAAGGCAGCAGATTGCAGAACAAGGCAGAACATTTCTTGAGACATGCACGAATGCTATGACAAAATAAGTAACAAATCTCTGTTCCATGCATTTTTAACAATATAAACTAAACTGACTTCAAAGGATGGTACCTTGCATAAAAATTGAGTGGCTGAAATTACCCCAATTCTTTGTCTGTTAGATCATTTAATCTTAAAAGTGAAAGACTGTGCAGAACCTGTGAACAATTCTTAAATTCCATCTTAATTTGGAAGCTTCTTCTTTAAAGAACTGTGGAAAAATAGCTTTCAATTTAAGACTGAATGGAAGAATTTTCCACAACTCTGTGCGATTTTAAATTTTAAGACAAAATGGTCTAAGAGTTCTGAGAATCCGTCCTATGTGAAGGGCACTGTATAAATGCAAGTAGTTGTCTAACAGGGTAAGGTGGAAATTTGGGCCAATAATATTTTCGTACTGGTCAGGTCAATATGATACTAATCATACATCTATAATACAGGAGAAGATACATGTTCCAGTCATGGTCTAGAGACTGACACCCACAATGTGTGTCACTTAAGGAGTGGGTTTAATACAACAGTTCCTTCTGGCTTTTCTGCACATTCCATTCTAAATGCAGGAAAATCTCCATATCTAGGTGGCATACATATGAATATGCTCATTTTGACTGCATTGGTCACCTTGTGACATGTTTCTTTCCAAAGAGATGATATTAAAAGGACTGATCACCGATAGTTTTCTCGATACCTGGCCCATTTCTTTTTTTGACAGCTACAAATGTAATCTTACAGAGAGTCTTCAGTACCATCAGGTACTCATATTTTTTGTACCCAATCTCAAAATACCTTAATAAAGAGCCAGGTAATGCTGTGATAATAAAAGCAATATTATTTGTTAAAAACAAAACAAATGGTGATATTTGTCAACAAAGGACAAATTGATTGCAGTTCCTATTTTAACAAGACATAAAAGAGATGCTAAAGGACAGGAGACAGATTTAGATCACGGTCCTTTTATAATAATAATCCTTGCATTCGATATAGCCGCTTATCATGTCTTTGAGGTGTCTCAAAGTGCTTCACAGAATATACTGTAAAGTGAATTGGCTGTATATTTTATGGGAAAAACGCGCTGGCCAATTGCGCACAGCAGTGACCCACAAACAGTCATGGATTGAAGTAACCAATTTATTATTATTATTACTTTTTTTGAAGGAATTATTACCCCGGGAAAAGTGATCCATTAAATGACTAACAACCGGGTTCCTACTTACCGCTAGGTAAACAGAGGCATGTGGAGTAAGGAAACTTGCCCAACATTTTGCCCTGCTGCGAATCGAACCCAGGTGTCTCGCTTGCGAGGTGAATGCTCTAACCACTTTTACCTTTGAGACCCGAGCTTAATTCCAGCACCGACTGTGGGGGTGAAAATCGGCACTCAAAATGAGTTTTGAAGTCTCAATTCAGTTTCTTGTGGGTGTGTGCGAGTAGCAAAAAAAAATTACCTGGAATTCAGCATTAATTGGCAATCTGACTCAGAGAAGCAACAAAAATGGATGGAGGGGCAATTAGAAGGGGAAAAACAATTTCATTGAAGTGCATATGGGTATGTTCATAGTTCTCTCCGCACTGCAGTTTCTGCATCTGCAGTTCTTACAACACTTATTACAAAGAACAGAATACTTTTGATGCTTTTATTATTTTTGGCTTCAGCAATACACTGTACCTCTTCTGCTTTCCTTGCAACTCACGGTATGTTTTTTTCTGGCAAATAACACCAGCTGTTCATGTGTGTACTTGAACAAGAGCTGCTTATGACGGCAGCCTGCATGATCTACTCAAGGTTGATGTGTGCGTATCAATGAGGATGGTCTCCCAGGAGGCTGAATGTGTTTGATATTGGCGAAGAAAAATTGGACTAGCTATAGCTAGGTCAATGAGATGAAGTTTCTGGTTGTTCAGTGCTGTAATTGTAGAGGTTAAAATTGCAATCACCATTTTTAAAGTTGAGTTTAATTCCCATTTTTAATTAAAGAAAGATAAAACAAATGGGCAAGAATTGCTTGCGAAATGAGCAAACTTACAAGTTCACTATCACAGTTAGAACAAATTATACAATTCCTAATGATTTTTAAAATCAGCTTTAAATATTTTATGTAGGTCCATACAGAGAAGAGATCCCTATATGGAAACAACAGATTTATAGCTGTTAAGTCTGAGAAACTGAGAAATAAAGATGGAATTTTCAGCTTTGTACATGAAAGTGGAACTTTGATGTACCAGGTGAGATGTGCTGAAATTCAGACTGATAGCTAGGAGAAAGAAAGTTTAAGGAATAAAATCAGAACTGGGGAAATAAATAGCACAAGCAAGTAAAGCGAAAGTAAAGCTGAGTGAAAAATCAGCTTTCATGACCCTAATGAAACCAAACTTCCTTGGACCTTCTTTAATAACTTTATTTTCTGCCAGTTTTCTTCCCAGCACGGTTTCCTGCTCAAATAACAGTTATTTCAGTGCCTCACCCAAGTGACCATTTTTCATGCATGAACTGAAACAGTAATGATGAATGACCCCTTCCTCTCTCGCCATGACTCTTCCCCCCCACCACCACAGATGAGTAGGCTTCTGACGTTCAAGATCACTGATAAGGTGTACCTTTCAATCCAGTGCTTTGCTGGTGAACCAAAGCTATAACATGGAGGAATATGATACAGCTTGTAGGCACACTTCTCCGCACAGTAACTTCCTGATCTCAGCGTGGAGCTCCGATGAGGGAAGCCAGGGATATTCTCTACACAGTGTGAGTAACACTGACACGCAAGTTACTTCAGTATAAAGTTCCTAACTGAAAGTTACAGACTGGAAGGGCAGACCAGCCCCTGCCGGCAGGGAGCCATTGCATTCAACTCCTCTTAACCCTACAAACCATAGCCCTAATGGGTAGGGTGGTCCTAGCTGGACAAGCAGCAGGAAAGCTTGCCGGACAGCAATATCAATCGCAAGCTATATGGTTTTAGCTGGTTAGACTCCAGCAGTTAATCAGGGTGGTCCCCAAGCCTTGGCTCTTTCCAACTTGTGCCTAATAGTTTCCGGAATTAGGTAAACATGATGGGTCCCTCCAGAGAGAGTGCACATTCCATTAAAACAATCTATCTCTGAGATTTCCATGTGTAGGTGGGATGCATGGAAATCTCAGCTTGGTTTAGATACCCTTTACAATGGTGATGGGTTTCTGCATGCGTCAGACACCTAGTTGACCCAATTTTTTACAGAACTGCATTGATGGAGCCCTGGGAGGCATTTGTAATAGTTGCCAGTGAGCACGTTTAATGGAGACTAGTGAACAGGGAACTAAATGAGAGTAAAAAATAACTTCACAGGCTTTATCACAATACTGACATAATTTCAGCTGCCTGAAAAGCAGTGACAGACCTTTTGTGCTTATAACAGGTGCCTGGTGCAGCAGTCTATTGATTCTTTACACGCAAGTGGTGATTTCATACTCTCAGTGCTCTCACAGTTTTTCACACATGTAAAGTAACTCTAACATGCGGTGTCCTCAAATTTATTTTGGGTTTCTCTTCAGACATCGTCTCAGAAGTAAACATTTATCTCAGCAGCAGAGGTCACCTCTTTAGGATCCAACTCAACGATGTAAATCTTGAAACATATGACAACAACAATAAGAGATTACATTTGTAAAGCGCCTTTCACATTGGGAGGATGTCCCAAGGCACTGGACAGTCAGGGATTTGGACTCAAGCAGGGGATTGGGATCACCGTGGAGGTTAAGAGGGGGCCGAAGGCACGGTCGAAGAGGAGGTTCTTGAGATGTGCCTTGAAGGAGGGAAGGTGAAGGGACTGTGGGATGGAGTTCCAGAGGGTGGGAGCAGAGAGGCTGAACTTGGAAAAATAAAGCTTGAGGAGAGGCATGATACAGATCCTTTTATTCCCAAATTTAGCTGGTTGAACTCCAGTAGGATCCCATTATACATGGTGGAGTCCTGAGGTTTGGGCTTTTGGCTTCTTAATATTATTATTAAAACTAAAAAAGGCATAAAAACAATCCTGGAATACCAGCAAATGGCTTCTGTTAATCCAAGTGAAGTATGTTCACCGGGATAACAATCATACAGTATTTCCACAAGATTCATAAGTTGTGTTGTGATCTATTTACTTTACAACCAATGTTGATCAATGTCGATCACTCCTTTTGGCATCTGTGCCCAGGGTAGGTGGTGGGGCTGGGGTTATAGGCATTTGTGAGTCTGTGTATATACCAGGAAATGCCATTATACCTGTACTGTCAAGGCTGGCAATTTTGGTGACCAGTGGACCCCAATAGATGAGCATTCCTATAGAATGTTCTCAAGCATCTTGTCCAATACACATCTCATTCCTTTTACGAACTGGGCAATGTTTCCTGTCACCCTCAGGTACAGCTCCAGTTTAACAGAGCTCTTCATAATATTCACAAGAGTCTCACCTATTTCCTTTCTCGTGTTTCGAGCTCTCTGGTCTCTCTGGCTCGGTCGGCTTGTAGATATTCAATTATTTTGAGTTTCTTCATAAAACAAGATCTATTGATATTCACTTGTATTAAAGTTTCATGGTCACTAGGGTGATTCAGCGTCAATGGAAGCACCAAAAATCATATTTTCAGTAGAAGTGAAAACCTGCGAGAGATCTCATGGGTGATGTGGTTATTTGCGTCTTTCACTCTCATGGAAAATGCCATCGGCATATTTCTCTGAGCGCATCTGGACGAAGACTCACCTGCTGCTGAACAGGTACCTGCTGTACCACCTGGGCCTGTACTGCCTGCACCGCCTGCTGTCCTGCCACTGAGGTCTGTAAAGTCACTGTCGATGTGGTGTCTGAAACAGCCTCAGAGGTCTGCATACTGGCCTCTAAAGAGATGGAGGAAAGCAGATGAAGATACATTCATTCAAATGCTGTAATGCCTGCATGAGGGAAATTAAACTCCAGAGCAGATTTTGTTTTTCTGCTGGACTAATATCAAGGGAGAGAGAGAATATCAAGGGAGAGAGAGAAAACAAGAGGGAGGGAGAACGCAAGAGAGAGTGGAGACAGAAAGAGAATGCATACACAGGATACAGCAGAACACCTCAGCAGCGTGAAACTATCATACAAGATGAATCAGCTCAATTTTGGCAAGACTCCAAAATTCTACCAAAGATTCGGTTTCAGTAACAAAATGTAAACAAGATCATAGTTAAAACTGATGGCACAAAATGCAAACTTCACTTTTGGACACACCATAGAAACTTATTATTATTTATTTTTCAATTTGACACTCTCTGCGAAACAATGCATAGACTTTCCCCTGGATCAGTAATTGGATCTTTTCTTATGTTTTTTGCACATTTTGTCATTGCTGCACTTTTCAATCTTTTAAGTAAAGCTGCTTGCATTTAAGTGACTTTGCAAATGTTGACGAATGCTTCAAAGAATAGTACATCAGACAAAAAGAGGAGCTGTACTTCCTAAAAATAGGTTCACGTTAAGTATTTTGCCTTGCCAAATATTGTATATAACTGCTACCAGTGCAGCCAAATTCATTAGATAGACATTAGGGGAGAAATCAGTCATTTCTCCCATTGTCCTGGTCAACGATCCCCTGAAATAAATTGGTTGTTCACTTCACAGCTGTTTGTGGTATTCGCCGAATGCAAACGGCTGCCGCATTCACCTACAAAATTCAGTCGCTCCACTTTACAGTATATCCTGTGAGATCTCTTCCCAATGTGAAAAGACCGATATCAAAAGTAATTATTATTATTACTTCTTCCCATGCATAGTGTGATTCTCATTTGCCTCCCTCTGTCAGTGTGATTATTTTTACGCTGTCAATTTTTCTCCTCAAGGTTTTTTTATTACTTTTTCATTCTACTGGTGTTCTGTTCCACTGGCAATGGGTAAATTCTAAGACCATTTTTCATGCACAAGCCTTAAACAACAGCCCATAAGCTAGCCCAATTCTATCCTCACCTGACAACCAAACACACCACGGTCTGATAGGGATCTCTGAAAACAATGAGGAGTGGAAACTTTGTCAGGTATTCTGCATCTGAACCCAGTAGTGCTGAGGCTAATTGCACCTTCAGGTTTGCAGTCACTTAATTCAGCATAGAATGGGATGTGAATTTGTAACCTGTGTCCTCTAATTCTGTACCTACTGGGCCAACAGAGGAACTATTGCATTGTTTCTGTCTTTCAACATTGTATTGAAAAGCAACGGAGGACACCCTGGTCATTCTCATCTCTCTTCAATAAAAGCAAAGTTCCAATTAAGCTTGTGGCAAATAAAGTGTGTGTCCAAATAATAATAATAATCATAATCCTTGCATTTGATATAGGGCCTTATCAAATCGTTGAGACGTCTCAAAGACGTCGCATACAGATGTCTTAAAGATGTGATAAGATGCTATATCAAATGCAAAGATTATTATTATTATCAGGAAATGTGCATGTTTGGAAAGTATATTCACGCTGGAACGAGTGTGCAAATGCATGGGTAGGGATTAACGCACTTTCTTGATACACTTTACAATCTCCCTCAAGCAGCTTGCTAATCTCTCTGAAATTCCTATTTGAAAGTTGTAAGGTAGATGTCACTTTGTAAGAATAGGCTACACTTCACAGCAATTTGTCTCTTTGAAATTTGTTTTCTCTTATCATTTCACACCAACTACTCTTTCTCTCTGAAGCCCTAATTCTTTTTAATTGATCCTCAATTTATTGAATTGATAACACAATATTTTTTGGGGGGGGTTGAAAAAATGCTGGTTGAAAAAGCATTAACCGAAACATGCCTTGATCTTGGAAAAAGGATCTAGAGATATGGGATGCTTGAAAGGAGAGAAGGGTGAGAGGAGGAGCAAGTCACAATAGCCACAATTTTATATTTAATAATGCCTTTCATATTAGAGGATGTCTCAAAGCACTTCACACAGCCTATTGGCAGCCCAAACTTGGGTGCAGAGCTGAGGAAGAATGAGGGGGAAAAGTGATTAAAAAACTAGTTGAAAAGGAGTTTTAAAGGGAGGGAGTTTTAGAGAGCAGAGTTTTTTTTTGGTCAGCCAGGTGTCTGACACACGTGGAAACCCATCACCATGCTTAAGAGTCTTCAAACCAAACTGAACGCTCCATGCATCCCACCTACACATGGAAATTCCAAAGCTGTTTATTAGAATGGAATATGCACTCTCTCCCTGGAGACATACATCCTGCTTACCTAATTCTAGAAAGTATTGGGCCAGGTTGGTAAGAGCCAAGGCTTGGGGAGTCAAGAGTGTGCATTGTGGTACAGCTAAAACCGCATAGCTTGCCATTCAAAGAACTGTCTGGCAAGCTTTCTCACTGCCAGTCCGTGTAGGATCACCCTCTCCATTAGGGCTTTGCTTGCAGGGTTAACAGGAGCTGAGTGGGATGAATTCCTGCCCCCAGTTTCCCCTCCAATTGCCGCTGATGAGTCAGGCTGACTGGGCTGTCATTAGCATTGTCCTAGAGCCAGTTCAGCTTCAAGGAGACCCCGCTTACCTCCTTTCCAAGGAGTTGGTTATTTGAAATCGGGTAAGTGCAGGTTTGAACCCTCATTGGTGGATGTTAGGTACCAGGAATTCCCAGTGAGCTTCCCAGTGGGCAACACAGCTCAGCATGAAATGTGTGACAGCATTGCCACCATCTTCCTGTTCCCAGCTCAGACACATATCCCTTTCCATTGAGCGAATGTTCCACCAGTTGAAAACGCAGAGCTTCACAGTAGCTGCTTACCTCTTTGCAAACCAATTAAGGTGGATTCCAGGCGCTGCACGTAAAAAATGCATGTTCATGAACTCAAAGATTCTACGTAATTCCTTCTAGCATCTGTCACCCCAAGCCTCAAAGTTTCCTCATCAACTATGTGAAGGAGATCTCTGCATTCAGCGTAGTGGGAGGACCTTTACAGGACAGCTTGTGACGTAGCACCCACATTGATGTTCTCAAGGTCCAAGCTAATGTGGGCATAGAATTGCTAAAAGCTCGCCACTACAACTTCTTAAATGTAGCATATCCTGAACCATTACGATTTTATTCCCAGACTGACGCTAATGGAAAATGTTTCAATCAAGCTTAAAAATCAATTTCTTTTCACAGAGAAGACTAAGAGCCTGAGCTGGGGGCACGGGGTGCTCAAAAAGTGTGGGTGGGGAAGACGAGTGGAAAGAAATGCTGGCTGCACATTACTAGAATTTAACAACACCTAGACCTAGGACCTGACCGTGATTTGGGTGGAACATTTTAGAATGGCAGTGAATGTGCTTGAGCAGGCAATCACTGCCCATTTTAAGAGCAATATGTTTAAATCTTGTTGATTTGATTCCCAAACCAATTTCTTTATAGAAACAAACAGTACTTATTCTCCTGTGGTACTTAGAGTAGAAATTTCCTCCAATGATAGATAATGGTAATAATTATTTGGATTTATAATTGTAATGATTATTATTATGGTAATTTTAATAAACCCACTAGAATCACAATTTGGGAGAGGTTACCCTGAATTGACAAGAAAAGGAATTCAAAAGCTGGATTCTTGTAAAACATAGACAAACACACACTATGCATGTCTGTCAAGACACCAGACTGACCACAAACCATTAAAACAGCAATTAAGAGCGTAGAAAAAACAGAGTACTATTTCACTGAAATACCCAGTTTTCTATCTCACACACCCATGGCATTCCACTCTTCCTGATGTGTACTCTGTTTGCATAACCACTGGGGAACTATTTGTTTTTAAATAAAACAATTTAAAGTTTCACAAAAAAGGATGGCAAAAAGCAAAGCTTGAAAAGTACTTTAATGAGATCTGCTGTCACGCAAGTTGGATGTCACTATTACCGACAAGGCCATCTCTGACCACTACTTCATCTCCTTCACCTCCTCCACCCCCCTCCCCACCTCCACCAGACCCACCACCATCTTCTACCGCCCTTGGAAGAAGTTACCCCCACAATCCCTAACCGATGCCTTGGAGTCCTCTGAACTCCTCTCCCTCTGGCCTTCAACCCTCACCGACCCCTCTTCTCCTCTCTCCCTCCTCCACAATACCCTCTCCTCCACACTCGATACTCTTGCCCCCATCACTTCCCGCACTGTCTCCTACTCCCGCTCCTCCCCCTGGTACACCACCCACCTCCGCTCACTGAAAAGCCAGGTGCGGGCTGCTGAACGCACCTGTCTCAAATCTGGCCTAACGGTCCACCGACAAATCTGGCTGGACCTCCTCAAAATTTACCGCTCCACTCTAGCCTCGGCCAAGTCGTCCTTCTACTCCAGGATAATCCTGGAGGCGAAGAACAACCCCAGGCTACTGTTTTCCACCACAACCCGACTCCTCCGTCCCCCCCGCCACCCCGCGCAGGTCATCTCCTCCAACCTTCACTGCGAGGAGATGCTGGATTTCCTTGAATCCAAGATCAAGGGAATCCGCTCCGCGGTCACTTCCCCTCCAACTTCCACCCACCACCCACCCCTTCCCTCCCACACTCCGACTCCTACCCATCCTCCCCTACACACCTTCGTACCCGTTTCCCCACCCTCTGTCACTGAACTCATCCTATCCCTAAAACCAACCACCTGCTCCCTTGACCCCATCCCCACTCCACTCCTTATCTCCCAGCTCCACTTTCTTGCCCCACATATCACTGACATCATCAACCTGTCCCTCTCCTCTGGCTCTGTCCCCATTCCATTAAAAACTGCCATCATCACGCCCACCCTGAAAAAACCCTCCCTTGATGCGTCGCAGCTATCAAGCTACCGGCCCATCTCCAACCTCCCCTTTCTCTCCAAGGTCTTGGAAAGAGTTGTCGCCTCCCAACTGCGCTCTTTCCTTTCCACCCAT